CCTAATTTCTAAAATCCCAAAATCGTCTAAATCTAAAACCCTTCGGCCATCCGTTTTCTCGCTATATTCTCAGCCACTTCATCTCAAGCGTGAAGTCAACCTCTTGTTCGTTCCGATTCCCTCATCATCTTCGAACAATTGACGGTCTCCACGAGTAAGTGAAAGATTTTTCATTTTGGGTGTTCTGATTGTTGCTTAATTTTTATCTATCTGGTTTAAAGTTTTCGATTCAAGATTCTGGGTACGCAGTTTATCTGCAAAGTTGTTCACTTTCACACTGTTAATGTTTATTGACTCTTGGGTTTGATATATCCCATTCCAATTTATACAAAGAAAAGATTGCCAGATGTTTTTGTTTATCCCCATTCCTAAATTCCCAGCTTCCCCTGTCCGGAACATAGCATTATGTGTTTAGTATATTAATATCGTCGAAATAGGCATGGTTATGGCTAGAATGCTTACCTTGTCAGGGGATGAAGCCTATGGTAACCATTTTCAGTATAGCTTAGTAGCATGGAAGAAAGAGAGTATTTTAGTAATTATAAAAAAGTTTCGTGTTTTATATATATATATATATATATATATATTTCTCTTTGGCTTTATAGTTACACAGCCTACACATAAATTGTTGACAGAACTACTTTTATTTTCTTTCTCTAATGGAATAATACGTCCATAAAGGGAAAAAAAGGTGAAAAGAAAAAAATTTCAATGAGATCTGCATTAGTTATCATCTTCAAACTTATATCTTTTGTGGCCTTATTGCATTCTCGTTTGTGATTTTTCCTCCTGACATGGCACTTTTGGTTTTTAGTTTTTGAATTTATCGAGATGGGGAGTGGACCAGCACCATTTGTAGATATTGGCAAAAGAGCAAAAGGTAGAAGCTGCATATCCCTATATTATGCATTTATCGTGGTATGCCATTTATACAGAATTGCTTGTGGATTTTGATGAAGGCATTGCATAGACATCTTTGGTTTACATGAATTTCTGTTTGGCATCAAGCAAATCTTTTTCTTTGCCATACCTATTCATAAGTGAGTAAATATGTAGAATAACTGCTGTTTTCAGGCTTTGAGCAGTATTATGAAGTTGATAAAGTTTTCCTGTTATGATTCTTCTGAATAAAGGGGGAATCCTTAAATTTGAATCTCTTCTGTTATTGCATTAGTGGACACAAAGTTCTAATCACCCCTTTTTTCTTTATCCCATTAATGGTATTCAAATATTACTCCTTATCTTGCAGTTCATGCAGTTTTATGTTTATAGATTAGCAATGGTATTTGGGATCTGTTGGTTATGGAGTATTAAACAGCATTTTCTCTCTTTTTTTTATTTTTTCAGAAATTTTTATGTCTCTTTTACATGGGAACTAATATTATAAGCAACTTTATCCTTGTTATCTCTTGGAGACATTGATAAACTGAATTGGTAATGAACTTTTCCCCCTGGTGTTTCGAATCAAGATAAATGTGAAAATATATGTTATCATTCAAAATTCAGCCAAATATCATTCCACTGTCAAAAGGACTTGAAGTCTTTCAGGTTAATCTGTTTTATAGTTGATTCATGCTAAAATAATCAGATTAAATTTCCGTTTGGTAAGTGCTCTGGTAAAATAGCTTTCAGGTCTCTATCAGTAACTGTAAATTTCCATGTTATGTGTTAACTTTCAGTAGTTGCCAATTCTTAGTACTGTTTTCCTTTTCTTTTCTTTTTTTTTATGTGAATTGATGTAAGATTTTTGAGACTTGCCACCATTTTGTTTTAACTATTTATTATAATTTATTAATGGGTTTTCTTTTGCAGACCTGTTGACCAAAGATTACAACTTTGACCAGAAGTTTACCCTCTCAATGCTGGGATCTACTGGAATTGTAATTTTTCACTTAATTCATGGATATCTACTAGTCTTTTATCTGGCTACTTGTCCAATCTACATGATTTTTCTCTCCATGAATTTTTTCTTACTTTTTCCTAGTGAAGTGGATGGATTGAGGGTGGTCAATTGTACATTGTCCTTTAAGAGACTAAGACCTGTCATGCATCATCTAATCTAAGTTTCCACATTGGCATTTGTATCAGTCAAAACATAGGTTACTTGAGTGTTTGAAATATGCCAATGTTGCAAACAAAGAAGAGAGAGAGAGAGAGAAATACGATAGTGTAAATCTTAGCCTCATCTGATTATAAATTGTTTATATATTAATATTTTTACTACACCCCTGAATGGATGTTGGATGGAGGGACTAGAAGTGGAATATCATTTCAAATTGTGAGAATGAAAAGTCTAAGGATTGAAAGATCATTTCAAAGTTCATACTTTCACAAAATTGGAATTTACCCTTTAGAAGTATTCAAATTTCAGTTACTCAGATTGTCTTGTAATCTAATGTCAATTTTAAATTTTGTATGCAGGGTCTTACAGCTACAGGTTTGAAGAGGGACCAAATTTTTTTTGGCGACATAAATACTGTTTACAAGAGTGGAAGTACCACAGTGGATGTGAAAGTGGATACCTATTCTAATGTAAGGGAAGCTCTTGCTTTTAGGACAAACATTTGGTGCTATTTTATGCACCCATCCAAGAATTAATGCAATGTTAATGTTCTATTGTATGTATATACGGACTAATCTTTAATCTATGTTTATTTAATCTCAACAATTTTGACATTTTGTCAAATTTTTAGGTGTCTACAAAGGTGACTGTCAATGATCTTTTTCCAAATTCCAAGGTGGCTTGTAGCTTCAAAATTCCTGATCACAAGTCTGGCAAGGTCAGTGCATTAGTGTTAGTTACTAACTTACTGTGAAAGGAAATGAATAGTGATGATGCTTCATAGAACTTAAAAGGGTATGGTATGCTTACCACATGCATTTCTGGGAGAAGGCAGCTACTGTACATCCAGTAATTTAATGTCAGATAATTTTACCAAGGTTTTTTGATTGTCAGAGATCCAGCTGTCTGTATGTTTCTGTTTGTTGGGTTACTTGAACCATGACATTGGGATTTGTATACTTGTTTAAGCAGTAGACTGTATCATGACAAAACAAGCTTAAGAAACATTTCTTAGGCTTACATGAAATCTCATTTAGTAAACAAAATATGATCTAAATCTGTGAAGTTCTTCTACAGAACATAACAAGTCATATAGAACTCAGATATAACAAGTAACCGTGTACGTACTTGTGGTTTCAATTGCATATTAAGTAATTATCGTCATTAAGCTCCTTATTTGCATTAACTTAGGTCTAGGCTCATTTTAAACAAAGCAATCTGTATTATCACAATTGTCTTGGCTTATTATGTATGGAACTTATTTGCATATTTACTCAGAAATGTCTTTGTTGGGTATCAAATGACTTTTGGAATGTTTGAAGGCCATATTTGAAATATATTTCTTTTTCTTAATACTCCTACCCCAACTGGTCTTTGAATTTAAGATGTAGCTCTGACTGTTTTGTGTTCATTTGATATACCCAGTTTCTCATTTCTGAGCTTATTATCCTCTCTGTATTTTGTGTTGTTGGCAACAACCTATTTCTCAATGTTTGTTAGAGCTTTTTCCCCTATCTTCTGCTGGGTCTATATATTAATTCAGTTTACTTGTAAAGATTTACTATTTTGTATCCAACAGAGAGAAACATCTGACTCTTTCTGTCCATAATATCTCAGCTGGAGGTCCATTACCTTCATCATCATGCTGCTGTTGATTCTAGCATCGGCCTCAATCCAACTCCAGATTTGGAGCTTTCAGCAGCAATTGGAAGCAAGGATCTTGCTTTGGGTGGTGAAATTGGATTTGATACAGCTTCTGCTTCTTTTACTAAGTACAATGCTGGGATCGGCTTCAACAAGCCAGATTTTTCTGCTGCCCTTTTCTTGTAAGTTCTTAAAGACAACCTGGTGTCTTTTCTAATAGTGCATGCTTGTCTTTGTCACTTTGCTGATGCCTAAAGTAATTGTAGTTGGATTAAAGACACGAAGGGGACTAGAACAAAAAAATTTCTATGTGTATATTATGTCTCAAAAGGTGGACCAAATGAAATTTGAAATAAAGATCAAAATGATTTTGGGAAGACTGGAAATAAGATTCATGGTCCCATAGAATTGTCTTTTACCCACTGCACATCCGGAATTTACAAGTATAGCTCTAATACAAACTGGCAATCCTTTAATCTGGGATAAAAATGATCTCAGTAGTTAAGATATTGCCATAGGGAATTTTTTTTCTTGGACCTTTGACATCTTGTACAAGCTTGATGTGCTAAGCAAATCTTCATTAAGGCCTTTGCAAAAGGTTGATGAGTACTGATGTAGTATTGTCAGGTCATTTACTAAATTGGATGTGCAATTTTGCTCCACAGCTGAGCCCAAGTACTGTGATCTTGGTCTCGGGGAAGTAAGGTCCACTTTTGCTGGTTCCAGCTAATATATTCTGTTTGGAAGTATGTTCTGTTTGAGATTCTCGTTTTGTCAAGGTCTATGGTATATTAGTCATGATTTGGTGGATTTCATACCTATGGTATCTACAAGTGTTTTACAGTGATTATTGGAAAGTGGGGGAGGGTATTCAGGAAAGCTCGAAATTAGTGGTAGTAGGGGCTAGGGCAAAATGGGATTTGATTTAACCATTTGGTATCACAATAGGGTTCAAAAGTTTCATTGCCTTGTATAAGCCAACACTTATTTCTTAAATCAGGTTCATGTATGTCTGTAGCCATACCTGTTGTGCAGTGTTTAGTTGTCTAATTTTGATCTACACTAATATATGAACACTTATTTCATATGCAGAACGGATAAAGGACAAGCAGTGAAGGCATCCTACATCCATTCTGTGAACCCCTTCACCTCAATTGCTGCTGAAATGACTCATAGATTTTCAACCTATGAAAACAGCTTCACCATTGGAAGTTCCCATGCAGTGGATCCTCTCACAGTTGTGAAGACCCGGTTCTCTAACAATGGGAAGGCTGCACTGTTATGCCAGCATGAGTGGAGGCCTAAATCGCTGATAACAGTTTCAACAGAGTATGACTCAAAGTCCATTAATGCTGCCCCGAAGATGGGGCTTACACTTGCACTCAAGCCTTGACATTGTTCACATAGCTCAAATGGGGCTAAGCCATTTGAGTTCAATCGTTTGAATTTTTCTACAATTTTTTTGCCAAACACAAGGAGGGTGGTGTTCTACCCAGATTACTGTATTGGAAAGCCGTAAAGGTAGCCGATGTGTTGATGAATGTTCTTAGAATCTTAAACACTGGTGGGAAAATTGAACCCGATTTTGAAAAATGTTATAATGATAACATTACACAAATTTTCTTGAATGTTATAATGCTAACATTGGAGCATCTCTCTCAAACTCTTATCTGAATAAGGATGGTAATTTTTCTGAAAAAAATAAAGTTAATGGAGAGAGACGTTTCTTGGAAATTGTCAGGGTTGAATGAATATGAAAGTGCAACTCCCGAAGTTGTCACTATTGAATTCTGTGTCTTGAGAGTGAATAAATGGCATTTTATACTAAGAAAAAAACTGGATTTGTTCTTGCATGACTTGTTGGGTGAGCATAACTTGCAGCAAGAGGCATTCTGTTCCACTGATACATATTTTTGGCACACAGTTGTAGGTGACTGTTGCACCATGCAGAAACTGTTCTCCTTCATTAATATGAAGCTTGCAAGTACCCAAAAATAAGAATAAAAATGAATATTGGAAGTTTGCACACCACTGATAACCTGAATCCCTAAATGCTGACCATCTCAGTTCTGCCTACGACACTAAACCATATCTCCTCTGTCTCTTGTCAACCAAAGAAAACCAACACAGCAACAGAGTTCGATCTAGTTATAATCACTTATTATTTTGTTAAAATTATTTAATTTAATTAATATTTTATTAGTTTATAATTTATTTCTTAAATATTTTGTTATAATATCTAAAAATAATAGGTATGTAATAAATATAAATTATTTTATTAATTATTAATTATTTTTAACAATTAAATTAAATACACTTGTGTCGCCTTTAAAATCAAATTTGACTTTCACGGTCAAACCGACAGTCCCGCTTATTTAACATCAAAGACCATCCATAAACTGAAATGGTCCTATTATATTCGGTTGTAGGCCAGTCTCGGTCTTTAGAGAGTTACAAGTTAAAATTAAAATTTGAGTTATTAAACTTCTCAAAGAGGCAATTTGACCAAGGACTCTGATCTCCATAACGTCTGTAAATCACTAAAGGAGGGTAGTGTAAGGGCAACAATCAAATTGCCTAAACACATCAGCATTAGTTGAACTATGCACTTTGAGTTTAGACCTTATAGTATGTTTAGTTTGAGAGAAAAAGAGAAGTGAACTTTTTAACTAATCAAATTATAATATTTTTAAATATTGTAATTTGATTTATTAAAAAACCCCTTTCTCCCTTCATTTCCATTTCTTTCAAACCAAATATACTATTAAAAAGGCAAAGTGAAATGCTCCCATGATACACAAGACTTACAAGTTACAAGGGACTTGCCAGTTGCCACACCATAACAGATCTCAAGAAGCTGAAACGTGTAAATTAGAGGCAGATTTGCATCAAGTCAAAAAGTTTGGGGACTAATTCGACATTTTTGCCTATTTGGAAATCAATCACTTAAATTAGAAATGTGATCACTTCAGATAGGTCTCATAGACTCTTACCCTTTTTTTGGCCGGATCATAGACTCTTACTTTGGTCTGATGTATTCCTGTTAAAATGGAAATTCAGTGTTCTATTTTTTGAAAAGAAATTGACATGTTTTACAAGTGGGGTGAGCTCCATAAACAACCTTCTATTTCCCCCCAACAATGTTTTGGTAATTGCCATACTTTCCTTTTTCTCCAGTCTCATTTCTTGGATTTATTTAATCACCTTGAAGCTTAAACTCTCTACATGTTCACAAACTTATAAATTTCTTCTACGTTTTCTTCGAAACTAATTTTGACTATATTTTCACTCAAATAGGGCCATTTCTTGTTATTGCACACTGACTTTGTGCAGAAAATAATAGCAGTGGTGTAGTGCCAGTAAAACCCTGTTTATTTAATCTCGTTTATTGTCCCTTTCCCCACATCTTGAAACATCACAATCCCTCCGTCCTCTAATTATAGAATGTCAGAAAAACAAAAAGTCCCCTAACAAAAAAAATATCCGTACAACACTCACATAGTCACATTGGCTTGGCCCCCATCTCCGAATTTTTTTTTTAAAATATTGGAATAGGATTCAAAATCTATACCTATCAAATTTAAGTTTAATATGAGAATTCTTTAAAAAAAAAATGTAACTACCATGTCACAATAATGTTTTCCTCATCTTTGATCTTTAAATAGTTTTTTATTTTATAATTTTGATTATAAAATATAAGTTGTTAGATAAAAAAATAATTTTCAATACTATGAAATTTATGTTTATTTAATTATTTAAGTTATAAACTGCAATCTAAACAATACTTTTTTGAACTCCAAAAAAATTTTTTTGGGGGGTTTTTTGCTTCCCCCTTTTTTGTCCCTGTACATTTTGTATCCCCTTACCCCACCAAGGGCTGAAGGATCGATACGGCAATAGTAATACCTTCCCATCTCTTTACCCTTTTCTCCTCTTCTATTGCATCATCTGTTCCCTTTCCTCTCCTCCCCCAACAAAATTTCCCATGTTTTCAAAATTTTTTTCCAAATCCGTTTAGTTTTTTTCCTATAAATTAGATACAACCCATTTCTTCTCCCCTCAAAACCCCATCAACCCATTTCCCATTTTCCCCAATTTCCTTCTCCATCTCATTTCTTTTCCCTCCACAATGAAAGAGTATTGGACTTCTCTGGCTTCATTGTTAGGCGTTTTGGCCTTTTTTCAGAGCCTTTTCCAAGTCATATTCCCACCCGAACTCCGTTTTGCTTCTCTGAAATTCCTCAACCATGTCTTCAACCTCTTCTCCTCCTACTGCTACTTTGACATCACTGAAATCGATGGTGTCAACACCAACGAGCTCTACAACGCCGTCCAGCTCTACCTTAGCTCCTCTGTTTCCATCACCGGCAGCCGGCTCAGCCTCACTCGCGCTCTCAATTCTAGCGCCATCACCTTCGGCCTCTCCAACAATGACTCCATCGTCGATACCTTCAATGGTGAGATGGTGTTGTGGGAGCACGTAGTCACTCAACGGCAAGCCCAGACCTTCTCCTGGCGGCCATTGCCTGATGAGAAAAGGGGGTTCACTCTTCGGGTCAGGAAGAAGAACAAATCCCTGGTTCTTGATTCTTACCTCAATTACATAATGGAAAAGGCCAATGAAATCCGACGGAAGAATCAGGACAGGCTTTTATATACGAATTCCCGCGGCGGATCTCTGGATTCGAGGGGACATCCGTGGGAGTCGGTGCCGTTTAAGCATCCGAGTACATTCGATACATTAGCCATGGATCCTGTGAGGAAAAAGGAAATCATGGATGATCTCAAGGACTTCGCAAATGGGCAATTGTTTTACCAGAAGACCGGAAGGGCCTGGAAGAGAGGTTACCTCCTGTACGGACCTCCAGGAACTGGAAAATCCAGCATGATTGCTGCCATGGCTAATTACTTGAGTTATGACATCTACGATCTTGAGTTAACGGAGGTGCATAACAATTCCGAGCTGAGGAAGTTATTGATGAAAACAACCTCGAAATCCATAATCGTGATTGAGGATATTGATTGTTCCATCAATTTGACGAACAGGAAGAACAACAACAATCAGAGCATCAAAAATTACTACGACCTCGACATGAGATGTGGGTCTGGCTCTGTTTGCGGTGAAGACATAGGGAACTCCATAACTCTTTCCGGGCTGCTGAATTTCACGGACGGATTGTGGTCTTGCTGCGGAAGCGAGAGGATTTTCGTGTTCACTACGAACCACATTGAGAAGCTGGACTCTGCATTGCTAAGAAGTGGTCGGATGGATATGCACGTCTACATGAGCTACTGTTCCTACCCTGCATTGATGATCCTCCTGAAGAATTACCTGGGGTACGGTGAGACTGACTTGGGTGATGCTGTCTTGAAGGAACTCGAGGAGGTTGTTGTGAAGGCGGAGATGACTCCGGCGGATGTCAGTGAGGTTCTGATCAAGAACAGGAGGGATAAGGAGAAAGCTGTGAGGGAATTGTTGGAGGCATTGAAGATTAAAGCAGAGGAGAATTTGAAGAAGCAAAAGAATGCTAATGAGGTGGAAGAGGAGGAGCAGGAGAAGAGAGCTTTGGAGAGTCCAAAAGAAGGGTGTGAATTGGAGGAGGAAGATTGTCGTCAAGGAAAGGAAATGGGAGGAAAGAAAAATTGTTAGGAAGTCAGTTCATATTAGATTACTCACTATGTCTGGTAAATCTATCTTAATCTTATTGACTAGTTTAATGATGAAATTAATCTTGTATGGTGCAAAAGCAAGCTTAATACTCTCTCTCGTGTTCATTTTAATTATCTCATTTTTTTATGCATATTTAAACAATTTAAGAATTAATTAAAATTTTATAATTAATTATTAAATTGATACCAATGACTTGTTGATCTAAGTAAAAAGAGTTTAGTTCTCTTTAGATAAGATTTCTGGTTTGAATTTTATAAATTGAAAAATAAGTATTGTGAGAGTTTTTCCTTATAAGATTCAATGTAACTTGATTTCAAATTAATTAGAATTCAATGAGGAAATTAAATACTGGAGATTAATAAAAAAAATTAAGTATTAAATTGACACGTCTGTTGTGAATAAATGTTTTATTGTGTTTATAAATATATTAGAGTAATAAACAAAAAATTACAATAATAACATTTAATGTCTCTTATAAACAAAAAAATAATTAAATTGAAACATTTAAACTTAATGAATATGACAATTAAATTGGAACGGACGGAGTAATTTGCATGTGGCTAATGGTTGGTCATGTGGGATATATTTCTAATTATGTGGTTGCTTCATCCATGGTAAGAGATTGGCAGATTAAATTCTTGTTATTTCGGTAGCACCAGCACACGTGTGCTGAAAGATCTTCTGGGGTTTGGTTATGGTTAGTTAATAAATTGTTGGATCACACAAAATTTTTTTTAAATTGTTAATTATTGTATTTGAAAATATTTTGTAAATTAATTTTAATATATTGAATAATAAATATCAAATATTTTATTATTTGTTGATTAACAATTATAATTATTAATATTTCTTATTGTTAAATTAAATAAAATTAATATTTTAAAAAAAAATTTAAAATTCCTATAACCCTACAACTTATTAGGTGATCATAACAAAAAATGGTGCGTTTGCAGGTGACACCTTTTTAGCAGGGGAACTGTGTGTGAGTGAATGCACATTAGGGACGCACATGGGTAATCAGTAAGGACATAAGAGATTGTTAAGAGTCTGCAACTGCAACATAATTTGAGTATTACTGCAAATGGACAATAAGTACGTACTAGGAGTACCAGGCCGTGAAGGTCGGTTGGTTAGTCCATCAATTACCTTGGTATCACCCAAGGCTCGATTCGACCCACAGCAATGCTGTTCTAAAATCCCGCTTCCCCTCTCTCAAATTGTAACTCTTCCAAGAAAAAAAAAAGTAGATGTTAGGTAGAATTTAAATGATTGCATCTACT